TTAGTGTTGATTCGCTTTTAAATTGCACATGTGGATGAGGTGCAGTGAGCTAGTTGCACATCTGTTCCATTGTGTCACGATAAGATTAGGGCTTTAGCCCTTCTGACATTTACATTTATCATTTCTGGGTGTCTGTGGACTACTCCCCATGCTTTATTATGAAATGCACAGTGACATGTTGTGTACTACATGCTCTGGACACTCTACTGTTCTGGTGACTACTCTTGTACTTTCTGTGAACTGAACTTGTAGCTTCTCTGAGTGAGTTTGTACACACAGATGTCTCTCTGTGCCTGGATTGTTCCACTCAGTGTGGTGTCCATAGTTTCAGTCTCATTGCTGCAAACCATAGGACTGAAAGCCATTTGGTGAAATCAAGTTCATCTATTCTTTCATGAATCACATGGATGGATAAAAAAAAACGTTCCCAAATCCATTGTTGTGAGATTGTGCTCTAGTGTTTTGAGATTGTGCTCTGCAATGTCTTCTAAGAATGGGTGAGGTTCACCTCTTGAGGACTTTGGTCCATGTGGATTTCATGCAGGCATGTGCCATGAGGGTAGGGTCTGACTTCACGCATTGACATGAACACACAGTTTTCCGGCCATTCATTTTCTTGAAGGTCCTGTTTGCTGTGCAACATTTTTTTCTTCTTTTTTTCATGGGTCAGCAGTGTCCTGGTCCCCCATTTTCCCCTATTATTGTATATGTCTGCCTTTAAACCAGTGCTACTCTGTCTTTGTTAGTATAGTTGGAGGAGGTTTTGAAATCTAGAAATTTGGTGCTCTGCAGTTTATTTTTTTTTTACTTCTGTTGTTAATTTTCTTGTATTTCCATGTGAACATTAGAATGATACTTCTTAGTTTTATGTAAAACACCTCATTGTTATTTAGAAAGTGATTGAACTGACTTCATGGTTAATTTTTGTGTAGATTACAATTCCTTTTGCTTGCAAATACCAGATATCTTTACATGTATCATTTCCCTTAAGTAGTTTGTAGTTTTAGTTGTATCAGATTTTGTGGATAATTTCTAAACCTTTTTTTTTTTTTTTTTTTGGTTAACGTGGTTTTCTGCTCCTGCTGCATGTCCTGGCTCTTTTCCATTTCAGTTGTGTATTTATTCATATCACTATGCACCCACACCCTCTAATGTTCCATCTATTTCAGCCTACTTTTTGATACATTTTCATCTTTTAAATGCATTTGAATTTCTCATTCTTTTGAATTTCTCATTCTTTATTATTGCTTACTCTTCTTATATAAAAATCTTTTTTTTCT